CACAAGGTGACCGTTGGTGTATGTCTCACACAAGGCCACCGTTGGTGTATGACTCACAGAAGGTGACCGTTGGTGTAAGTCTCACACAAGGGGACCGTTGGTGTATGTCTCACACAAGGGGACCGTTGGTGTATGCCTTACACAAGGCCACCGTTGGTGTATGTCTCACACAAGGTGACCGTTGGTGTATGTCTCACACAAGGGGACAGTTGGAGTATGTCTCACACAAGGTGACCGTTGGTGTATGTCTCACACAAGGTGACCGTTGGTGTATGTCTCACACAAGGGGACAGTTGGTGTATATCTCACACAAGGGGACAGTTGGTGTATGCCTCACACAAGGTGACCGTTGGTGTATGTCTCACACAAGGGGACAGTTGGTGTATGTCTCACACAAGGTGACCGTTGGTGTATGTCTAACACAAGGGGACAGTTGGTGTATGTCTCACACGAGGGGACAGTTGGTGTATGTCTCACTAGAATGGATAACACAATGATTAAAACAAAGAAAGCAAAGTGTCGTCCTAAACGGAAATAACTGTAAGTGGAGAAATGTGATGAGTGGAGTCCCGCAAGGTTCCATTTTGGGCCAACCATTTTTGTCATATACATCACTGACATAAAATAGAATATTACAAAGCATATCAATAAAATTGTAGATGACGCTAAGATTTATGGTAAAGTAGGGAGTGAACATTATATTGAAGCCTTACAAAGCGATCTTCATGAACTCCACAAGTGTCAGAAGATTTACAGATTCTCTTTAATATCGAAAAATGCCAAGACCTTGCATGTGGGGCATAACATTGCACAGCACAACTATCAAATCAAAAATATTACCTTGCAGGAGGTTGATGAAGAAGGACCTTGGAGTCAGAATCCACAAATCAGTAAAAGTTGCTCAACAAGTGGGAGCTGCAGTAAAACAAGCCAACCATGTCCCAGGAATAGTCAGACGTAACTTTGATTTCAGGGAAAATAGAGTAGTTATTCAACAGTATAAATCTCTGGTGCTTGTATTATTGTAGCCATGCATGAAGACCTCAGCTTCAGAGAGGCACATCTGCTGAAGAAAAAGTTCAACACTGGGCGAGAAAAATCATTCATGAACTAAGTGGGCTCCCATACGAGGAATAGTTGAGGGTTTACAGGGTTAACAACACAGCAAACCAGACATGACAAGGCTGATCTCATCGCAACTTAAAATATTGAAGAATTTGTTGATCCAGACCACTTCTTCAGAAGGTCAGATGTAACATAAACAAGTAGCAACGGTTTTAAGCTCAACAAGACACAATTTAGGACAGAAGAAAGATGATGTTTGTATTATAAACCCATGGAACCACCTACCCGCCGAAACAGTAAATGTCAAAACACTGCTTCAATTTAAGATCCAAATAGATAAAATCATCAGGACAAATGGGGAAACATTTGACAAGCCTTCGGCTTTCTGTCCTTGTCGAGGCCACTCGAGAGATAGTGGCCCTCTGGCAAATTCAGGTAAATATGAACACGTTGGACTGGACGGTGTGAGAATAGCTTGAGCTGCTTCAACTCTTACGTGTGTAATTTATACCTCAATAAATTTATTTTAATTTTAAAACAAGAAATACATTTTGAAATAAAATGAGTTCAATTTTAAAACATTAGTGATCACATGTAAACAGATGTAACAGAGAACTGTAGTAAGGTCAGGTTCAGTCTCGTGTCCTGTATACAGCTCTGCTGTATTGTGTTGAATACTTATCTCTTAAAGTATTACATGTAATACAGGCCCAGAGGAATCTTCCATGACGTTCCTTACTCTCGCGTAACTTTATTATTTCATCCCAAAATTCATAAAACTTGTTTCTTTAAAAGCAATCAGAAATCCTTTGATTGTATAATATTTGTTTTGTCTTTAATCCTGTTAATAGTATGATGGTTAGAGCACTAGTTCTTGGTCTGCTCTGGGACAGGCAGCCATCTCTGGGACACCCAGCATCTTGACACAGGGTATCCCAGCCATCTCTGGGACACCCAGCATCTTGCCACAGAGTATCCCAGCCATCTCTGGGACACCCAGCATCTTGACACAGGGTATCCCAGCCATCTCTGGGACACCCAGCATCTTGACACAGGGTATCCCAGCCATCTCTGAGACACCCAGCATCTTGCCACAGAGTATCCCAGCCATCTCTGGGACACCCAGCATCTTGCCACAGAGTATCCCAGCCATCTCTGGGACACCCAGCATCTTGACACAGGGTATCCCAGCCATCTCTGGGACACCCAGCATCTTGCCACAGAGTATCCCAGCCATTTCTGGGGCACCCAGCATCTTGCCACAGGGTATCCCAGCCATCTCTGGGACACCCAGCATCTTGCCACAGAGTATCCCAGCCATCTCTGGGACACCCAGCATCTTGCCACAGAGTATCCCAGCCATCTCTGGGGCACCCAGCATCTTGCCACAGGATATCCCAGCCATCTCTGGGGCACCCAGCATCTTGCCTCAGGGTATCCCAATGATAGATATAATTTGGAATTCTTTAACGTGACAATTCCAACCAGGCATTCTTCTTCTATTTGTTTTTTAGAATGATTCTCTCTCCCCTTCCTTAACCAGCACTGAGATGACAGATGGAAAATGAGTAATTGAAACTGTTTTGATAGATATTACACTGAAGATTTGTGTTGAAAGTTGCAATAATTGATAAATGCATATTATCAAGTTTTCTGTTAAACAGACACTTTAAGCTTTTCCAAGTCAGCAATAGTGACTTTTTCCCAGTTTAAATGTTTTAAGGTTGGTTACTGTTCTCACTGTCAGCAGCAATCGTTTGATAGTTAGGTATAGTGAAGGTGTCTATGACAGGAAAATGTCAGGATAGGTTGTCACAAGCACGGAGTCTTATACCCTGAGATGTTACCAGTTAGGTCATCATCAATGAAAAAATTATCAAAATAAGACTTTCCTCTCCAGTCATTCAAAGGAAAGCCAAAGTAATATTAAACTGAGCATAGACAGTTTTGACCAGCATATGCAAATCTTTTGTTAAATTTTAAAAGCCTAAGTCTTCTTGTAACGATTTTAAGTTTTTCTTAATTTATTAGGAAAATTAAATTTGGATTTTTTTTTATCTACATGGTTTATATATACGGTAAACAAGACAGGTCTCAGGCCAGAGTCCTGAGGACCATTGGCAACTATGGTAATGTTGCATTTGAGTGTTGTATCAACATGGTTTATATATACGGTAAAGAAGACAGGTCTCAGGCCAGAGTCCTGAGGACCATTGACAACTATGGTAATGTTGCACTTGAGTGTTGTATCAACATGGTTTATTTATACGGTAAACAAGACAGGTCTCAGGCCAGAGTCCTGAGGACCATTGGCAACGTTTACCACTCGGATTTGTCTTACTCTGTTTTTTTTTAAAAAGTCATATCATATACCAGTAGCAAGTTAATACCTCCAAACAACAGGCCTCAGAGAATGAGTGAAAATATAAGTGTTTAAATTGTTTAAACTAATATGTTACTCTATTTCAGATAATGCATGTATTTAATTTAGTACTTTAAGTACTTGCAGTACTCTACTATAGAAAATATACAATAAGCTACTTAAAATTAAGAAAAAGTGTACAATAGGTTACTTACTGTATTACAGGGAACGGAAATAGGCTATGTACACTATCAAAGGTGGTGTATATATGGTAGTCTCTTTACTAAAGAAATTGTAAATATAAGTGTACAGACGGATATTTGCTGTATTGAACTACTTGAACAGTAAGCAGCTTACTGTATTAAAGTACTTGTAAAGGAAGGTACTTACTGTAATAAAGTAAGTGCACAGAAGGCTAGCAACTGTATTAGTGGAAGTATACGATAGGATACAGATAATATTAACGTTCATATACAGTAAGCTGCTTAATGCATTATAGTAAGTTGCAGTAGGAAACTTATTGTATTTAGTGGTACATTAAGCAACTTACAATAAAAAAGGTGCATATATGCTTCTGCTTGATCTTGAGGATAATAAGGTTAAGACAGACTAAAAGTCAGAAAACAATTCTTAATGCCTAAAATACTAAAAATGTTACAAAAGCAAAGATTTCTTAACAAATAAACAGCCAAAACTAATAATAGTAATCCAATAAACAATTAAAAGAAAGTCAGATTGATAATAAATTGTAGAAAATGCTAATATATAAATTACATACCAAAAGTTACTCATGCAATGTGCATTCCAAAACTCATTCATACCACCAAAATACTAAAACTCATTCATACCACCAGGATATCAAAACCTATTCATACCTTCAGCATACAATAAAACCTCCATACCGTCAGCATGCGTGTGATAACTTCAAAACAAAAACAAAATAAACAAATAAAACAAGGCCGCCAGTGGTAACAGTTCCAGCGAGGTACTCCTAGACGTGTCCTTGTCAAAATGTGGCTATTGGTCTCGTGAGGCTGGTCTCAACAACCAGCTCCTCGTAGATGTGTCCTTGTACATTATGGGTCTCGTGAGGCTGGTCTCAACAACCAGCTCCTCGTAGATGAGTCCTTGTACATTATTGGTCTCGTGAGGCTGGTCTCAACAACCAGCTCCTCGTAGATGTATCCTTGTACATTATTGGTCTCGGGAGGCAGGTCTCAACAACCAGCTCCTCCTAGATGTGTCCTTGTACATTATTGGTCTCGTGAGGCTGGTCTCAACAACCAACTCCTCGTAGATGTGTCCTTGTACATTATTGGTCTCGTGAGGCAGGTCTCAACAACCAGCTCCTCGTAGATGTGTCCTTGTACATTATTGGTCTCGTGAGGCAGGTCTCAACAACCAGCTCCTCGTAGATGTGTCCTTGTACATTATTGGTCTCGTGAGGCTGGTCTCAACAACCAGCTCCTCGTAGATGTGTCCTTGTACATTACTGGTCTCGTGAGGCTGGTCTCAACAACCAGCTCCTCGTAGATGTGTCCTTGTACATTATTTGTCTCGTGAGGCTGGTCTCAACAACCAGCTCCTCGTAGATGTGTCCTTGTACATTATTGGTCTCGTGAGGCTGGTCTCAACAACCAGCTCCTCGTAGATGTGTCCTTGTACATTATTGGTCTCGTGAGGCTGGTCTCAACAATCTACCGTATATAAACATTATTAAAATTGTTAAGCGACGCACCGAGCTCTCGGAGGTACTTCTTGTTCTCCTCACTGTCCTCGATCCTAATCCAAAGGCTACCACCAGTGACGCCCCTCCGGTGAAGTCCTCGCAGGAGTCTCTCTACACCCGCACCTGTAGATGAGAGGGAACACTGAAGCCCACACCTGGCAACTCTCCCCTCCTACACCTGCAGATGAGAGGGAACATTGAAGCTCACACCTGGCAACTCTCCCCACCCACACCTGCAGATAAGAGGGAACACTGAAACCCACACCTGGCTACTCTCCACACCCATCTCTTAAGGAGGAGGAGGAGGAGGGTAGTGGTGCAGAGGAGGAGGAGGAGGGTAGTGATGCAGAGGAGGAGGAGGATAGAGGTGCAGAGGAGGAGGGTAGTGGTGCAGAGGAGGAGGGTAGTGGTGCAGAGGAGGAGGGTAGTGATGCAGAGGAGGAGGAGGTTTGTGGTGCAGAGGAGGAGGAGGAGGAGGGGAGTGCTGCAGAAGAGGAGGAGGGTAGTGGTGAAGAAAAGGTGAAGGGTAGTGGTGCAGAAGAGGAGGGTAGTGGTGCAGAGGAGGAGGAGGGTAATGGTGCAGAGGAGGAGGAGGGTAGTGGTTCAGAGGAGGAGGACGAGGAGGAGGGTAGTGGCGCAGAGGAGGAGGAGGGTACTGGTGCAGAGGAGGAGGGGGTAGTGGTGCAGAGGAAGAGGTGGGTAGTGGTGCCGAGGAGGAGGAGGGTAAAGGTGCAGAAGAGGAGGGTATTGGTGGAGAGGAGGAGGAGGGTAGTGGTGCGGAGGAGGAGGAGGGTAGTGGTTCAGAGGAGAAGGAGGGTAGTGGTGCAGAGATGGAGGGGGGTAGTGGTGCAGAGGAGGAGGAGGGTAGTGGTGCAGCGGAGGAGGAGGGTAGTGGTGCAGAGAAGGAGGAGGAGGGTAGTGGTGCGAAGGAGGAGGGGGAGTGAAGTTTCGCAGAGGAGGAGGAGGGTAGTAGTGTAGAGCAGGAGGGTAGTGGTGCAGAGGAGTAGGGTAGTGGTGCAGAGGAGGAGGAGGGTAGTGGTGCAGAGGAGGAGGAGGGTAGTGGTGCAGAGGAGGAGGAGTGTAGTGGTGCAGAGGAAGAGGATAAAGGTGCAGAGAAGGAGGAGGTTAGTGGTTCAGAGGAGGAGGATAGTTGTGCAGAGAAGGAGGAGGGTAGTGGTGCAGAGGAGGAGGGTAGTGATGCAGAGGAGGAGGAGGGTAGTGGTGCAGAGGAGGAGGAGGGTAGTGGTGCAGAGAAGGAGGAGGAGGGTAGTGGTGCGGAGGAGGAGGAGGGTAGTGGTGCAGAGGAGGAGGAGGAGGGTAGTGGTGCAGAGGAGGAGGAGGGTAGTGGTGCAGAAGAGGAGGGAAGTAGTGCAGAGGAGGAGGGTAGTGGTGCGGAGGAGGAGGAGGGTAGTGGTGCAGAGGAGGAGGAGGAGGGTAGTAGTGCGGAGGAGGGTAGTGGTGCAGAACAGGAGGAGAAGGAGGATAGTGGTGTAGAGTAGGAGGAAGGTAGTGGTGCAGAAGAGGAGGGTAGTGGTGCAGAGGAGGAGGAGGAGGAGGGTAGTGGTGCAGAGGAGGAGGAGGGTAGTGGTGCAGAGGAGGAGGAAGGTAGTGGTGCAGAGGAGAAGGAGGGAAGTGGTGGAGAGGAGGAGGAAGAGGTTAGTGGTGCAGAACAGGAGGAGGAGGAGGGTAGTGGTGCAAAGGAGGAGGGGGAGGAGGAGGGTAGTGTTGTAGAAGAGAAGTAGAGTAGTTTTGCAGAGGAGGATTAGGGTTGTGGTGCAGAGGAGGAGGAGGAGGATAGTGGTGCAGAGGGGGAGGAGGGTAGTAGTGCAGAGGAGGAGGAGGAGGGTAGTAGTGCGGAGGAGGAGGAGGGTAGTGGTGCAGAGGAGGAGGAGGAGGGTAGTAGTGCGGAGGAGGAGGGTAGTGGTGCAGTGGAGGAAGAGGGTAATGGTGCAGAGGAGAAAAAGGGTAGTGGTGCAGAGGAGGAGGAAGAGGTTAGTGGTGCAGAACAGGAGGAGGAGGAGGGTAGTGGTGCAGAGGAAGATGAGGGTAGTGGTGCAGAGGAGGAGGAGGTTAGTGGTGCAGAGGAGGAGGAGGGTAGTGGTGCAGAGGAGGATGAGGGTAGTGGTGCAGAGGAAGAGGAAGAGGTTAGTGGTGCAGAACAGGAGGAGGAGGAGGGTAGTGGTGCAGAGTAGGAGGAAGGTAGTGGTGCAGAAGAGGAGGGTAGTGGTGCAGAGGAGGGTAGTGGTGCAGAGGAGGAGGAGAGTAGTGGTGCAGAGGAGGAGGAGGGTAGTGGTGCAGAGGAGGAGGATGGCAGTGGTGCAGAGGAGAAAAATGGTAGTGGTGCAGAGGAGGAGGAAGAGGTTAGTGGTGCAGAGGAGGAGGAAGAGGTTAGTGGTGCAGAACAGGAGGAGGAGGAGGGTAGTGGTGCAGAGTAGGAGGAAGGTAGTGGTGCAGAGGAGGAGGGTAGTGGTGCAGAGTAGGAGGAGGCTACTGGTGCAGAGGAGGAGGAGGGTAGTGGTGCAGAGGAGGAGGAGAGTAGTGGTGCAGAGGAGGAGGGTAGTGGTGCAGAGTAGGAGGAGGCTAGTGCTGCAGAGGAGGAGGAGGAGGGTAGTGGTGCAGAGGAAGAGAGTTCTGGTGCAGAGGACGGGGAGGTTAGTGATGCAGAGGAGTATTGTTGTGGTGCAGAGGAGGATGGTAGTGCTGCAGAGGAGGAGGGGGAGGGTAGTGGTGCAGAGGAGTAGGAGGGTAGTGGTGCAGAGGGGGGGTAATGGTGTAGAGGAGGAGGAGGATAGTCTTGCAGAGGAGGAGGAGGAAGGTGGTGGTGTAAAGGAGGAGGAAGGTACTGGTGCAGAGGAGAAGGAGGAGGTGGGTAGTGGTGCAGAGGAGGAGGGTAGTGGTGCAGAGGAGAAGGAGGAGGAACGTGGTGGTATAAAGGAGGAGGAAGGTACTGGTGCAGAGGAGAAGGAGGAGGTGGGTAGTGGTGCAGAGGAGGAGGGTAATGGTGCAGAGGAGGAGGGTAGTGGTGCAGAGGTGGAGGAGGATAGTGGTGCAGAGGAGGAGGAGGGTAGTGGTGCAGAGGAGAAGGAGAGTAGTGGTGCAGAGGTGGAGGAGGAGGGTAGTGGTGCAGAGGAGGAGGAGGAGGGTAGTGGTGCATAGGAGGAGGGTAGTGGTGCAGAGGAGGAGGGTAGTGGTGCCGAGGAGGAGGGTAGTAATGCAGAGGAGGAGAGGGAGGGTAGTGGTGCCGAGGAGGAGGGTAGTGGTGTAGAGGAGGAGGGTAGTGGTGCCGAGGAGGAGGGTAGTGGTGCAGAGAAGGAGGAGGCTACTGGTGCAGAGGAGGAGGAGGGTAGTGGTGCAAAGGGGGATGAGTGTGTTGGTGCAGAGTAGAAAGAGAGTAGTGGAGCAGAGTAGGAGGGTTATGGTGCAGAGTAGGAGGCTAGTGGTGCAGAGGAGGGGGTAGTGGTGCCAAGGAGGAAGAGGGTAGTGGTGCAAAGGAGGATGAGGGTAGTGGTGCAGTGGAGAAGGAGGGTAGTGGAGCAGAGGAGGAGGGTAGTGGTTCAGAGGAGGTGGGTAGTGGTGCTGCGGAGGAGGAGGGTAGTGGTGCAGAGGAGTAGTAGGGTGTACGACTCACAGGTCATTTTTTTTTTTTGGCCAGAGGACCCCTGTGAGTCGTACGACTCACAGGTAATTTTTTTTTTGGCCAGAGGACCCCTGTGCGATGTACGACTCACAGGTAATTTTTTTTTTTTTCTGTGAAATATCGTGTCTGGGTTTTCAGGTAAATTTTGTCAGTCACATATTTTAGAAGTAAGGATTTCTTATGATAAAAATAATTTCCGAGACTTAGAAGTTTGTTAAGGGCTTATGGGAGAAATAGCAATCTGTCGCCTCACCTGTGATTACTTTAGACGTCAGCCAGATGCTTCTTGTAGGTCGCCTCTTATCATATCTTATCTTATCTTCTCCATAATATCTGGACCGTCCCTGCACTCTCTCTCTCTCTCCTTTCATTCAGTTCAGCTATTTTCTGACATCATATGTTTGCTCCTTTTCATTAAGCAACTCAGTTTTACACAAATAAATTATGTTAGTAAGCAAGTTCTAGCTCACGTTCCCTGCCTTAGTCCCCTGTCGTATAATGAATACTATCATTCCAATCCCTCTAAAATTTAAAAATAATCATATTTCAAACGTATTTCAATACAGTAATTTAGTTACCGAGCTCCAGCGCTTGTCCTCCGCCTTAGCTCTCTCTCGTATCTTCGTTAATACCTATTCAAATTCCCCGAAATTTCTACCCGCTGTATTTCAGACATAGTTTAGTAAATGCAAACAATTATCAAACTCTAGCTCTAGTCCCCAGCTTAGTTCATTTGTACAAAATCGTTAGTAACAGTCCAAATTCCCTGAAATTTAAATCCTCTGTATTTCAGACACAGTAAATAAGATCAAGTCCATTACCGAGCTCCAGCTCTCGTACCCCACCTTACTCCCCTCGCGTGTCTTCAGTAATATCCTATCAAATTCCCTGAAATTTAAACTCTCTGTATTTCGGACATAGTAAATAAGATCAAAACAGTTATCGAGCTCCAGCTCTCGTCCCCGCCTTAGTTCTCTTTCGTATCTTTTTAAATAACCCATCAATTTCCCTGAAATTTTTACCCTCTGTATTTCAGACACCGTAAATAAGATCAAAACAGTTATCGAGCTCCAGCTCTCGTCCCCCACCTTAGTTCATTTGTACAAAATCATTAGTAACAGATCAATTCCCCTGAAATTTTTTACCCTCTGTATTTCAGACACCGTAAATAAAATCAAGTAAGTTATCGAGCTCCAGCTCACGTCCTCCACCTTAGTTCATTGTACAAGATCGTTAGTAACAGATCAATTCCCCTGAAATTTTTTACCCTCTGTATTTTCAGGCTCCGTAAATAAGATCAAAACAGTTATCGAGCTCCAGCTCTCATCCCCCGCCTTAGTTCGCTCTCGTATATTTGTAAATATCCCATCAATTTCCCTGAAATTTTTACCCTCTGTATTTCAGACATAGTAAATATGAAGTAAACAATTATAAAACTCTAGCTCTTGTCCTCTGTCCAAGTTCACTCATGTAAATTCATTACTAT